TTCTGCCCAACTGCGAAATTCTCCCCCCCCCCCCCGCCTTCTGTTTTTCCCCCCCCCCCCCCCCTCCAAACCCTTGACTTCTATAAAACCCTATCAAAAACGTTTTTGATTGTGGCTGACCTGTTGATTGCTTTTCTGCTTCTTTTTGACATCACGTAAAAAGTCGTCAAGGAATTTCTGCGGTATGAAATTTCGATATACAAGAATGATTGGTATCGTAGCCACTGGATCGATATAAACTACCTCGTAATTACGGTAGTATTTGTAGCAGAAGTAATCTGAAAAAGAATCTCTCGTTTCTGTCCCATTCTGGGTTTACCACTCCAGCCTTACCATTTGGTAATTTTGGTTCTTTGAAGCAATGAGCAAGAGCTGGTAGTGACCAGTGATCCTTTCCAACGAAATTGAACATCTTTTTCTCTTTTATCTTCGGTAACTTCGTTTTGGTGTCCTTTGCCTTTTTCTTATCCTTCGTTTCTTTGCTTGCACATTCCAGCACCGAAACCACCAATATGGCCAAGATGAGTAACTTCATTCTCTGAAATTTATATTAGCTGAAAAAAGAAAAACAATAAAAACAACAAAGACATCCTATAAAGGCCATAAATAAGTAAGGCTTTCTATCACGGTATCTCGTTGTCCTTGACTTGGTCAGGCATAGGATGAGAACTGAGAATGGGGGACCATGCTTGCTCATTCGAGGAGGAATAGTTCTTTATCAGGAGGATACGGATGCATATTTCCTTTTTATACTGGATTTATCATTGAAATTGAAGTCGATCAATTTCTAAAAAATCTTTTGGGATATATAAAAATTTGCTAAATTAGGGAATCAATTGAACCAAAATCAGTACTGATGTTACTGGAAGCTGTTAATGGCTTCAAAGGGATTCTGGCTCACACACCTTTACAAATAGAATGCTAGGACTATGTTCTATTATATGCTAAAATATTCCAGAGTATTTCTGAAATTACCAACAGGTTCCCATTTTAGATGTAGAACACAATGCAGTAGATTATGCCCCAATGAGGCTGTTTTGGTGATGTTTATAGGCTAAACAAAGGGCAAATGTAGTAAAAGGAAAACAAACTAATTGAACGGCATATCCAGCTGTTCAAAAGCGCATAACCTGCATTTTTAGAATTTCTTGTAATTTTTTTGAAATTCATTTTACTTTTTTTTGAATCAGCGGCCTCCAGGTTCTCAGCCCACAGGAATAATCTGATGTGGGTGGGTTTTATATCGCCCACAACAGGAAACAACGGTGGCCCCTACCATCACACAGGGTCGTTGAAAAATATAGTAGTAGGAGTGAACAAAGGTGTCGTAGTGTCAAAGCACTGGGGTCAGGGTTGATCGAGCCTCTCCTGAAAAGGAATCGCTGCGTTTTCTTTCAACGCCTACTGCAATACTGGACTGTTTCAGTGGGTATGTCTCAGAAAGCCATAACACTCCCTCAACGACTAAAGATTTACCTCAGCCGAAGTCCTATCCCTACCATGCTTACTAACTATCCTTTGGGATCATATAGGCAATTCAATGGCAGTTATATTCACCTATGTGAGCGCAAAATCAGTAAGAAAGTTGCTGATTCTTCCCTGATGATGTAGGGAGAAGGCAACGAACGCACGAGAAAGCCATTGAATGTTGATGAGAGAACGAAAGGAAGGAAATGAATTTGGATTTGATTGTGAAGAGACGAGAAGAGTTCCATTCGGGCGTCGGAATACACCCAAGCGAGCTTCGACACGTAAGTGACAATGGGGAGAATAATTTCGAAATACACTCATGGGAGCTGTTGTTCAAATACGATTTCTGTGATGTACTTTATGGATGGATCAACGGATAAACGGTTTTGAAAGCGATTGAGCAAAAAAAAAAACATGATGAGCTGGTAATCGATCCCCGGTGGGACCTTTCGAGATTCGCACTACGTACCTGGTTCTTGAATAGGTAACCATGGGAAATGTTAAACTAACAGATAGGAGTCACGACTTCAGAGCAGTGGAAGGGGTTGTACATTCAGGCCTTTCTTTCCCCTAATGTGGTCTGAAAATACAAAACGGCGATCGACTATATTTGCATAATGAGAAATATTGATATTTCCATGGAACTTCGTCAAGCCCCTGAGTATAATGGAGTAGTGTCTCACAGCAAGGTATGGAGGCTGATGTGGACGAACCGCTCAGAGACAGAGCTGGACTCTGGCTGAAAAATCCTACCCATAGAGCGAGTACTAATTCAAAAACTCAACTTTTACATCCGAGAAAACACTGGCATTCAGGAACAGACAGACCTTTGTGAGCTTTCAAGCCAAAACTACCTTTTCAAATTTCTAAAGAAGAAGTATTATGCAGGAGTCGTGTTCATGGCGCACGAGGTCCACCATCGATTGACTTGGTTGTTTTACTTTTGACTTGCTAATCTTGCTTGATGGCTGAGATAAGGAGCCTACTTTTGACGTATTTCAGGTAACTTCCAGATAAAAAGCCTGTCGAAGCATTAGCTTTGCGAAGACAACAACATACAAATTCGTTGGAGATTTCTACTGGGGATACACACCCCACTTTGAAATCCCATGCGCTTCCATTTTCCACCTCACATGGTTAGCCTTCACACTGAAAATTTTACAGATCAGTTCAGAAGGAGAAGTTGAATGGAAGCCACCAATTCGTGGGCTACGGGTGGGAGACCGATCAAGACAGCGGTTCAGCTGCCTTCGTCAGAATTCATAGATATAGAGGAGAACTCGGAGACTGCCAGCTACTATGCCGTGGGTGGACAAAGCAAG